CCCCAATAATATAATGCCTTTAGAATAGCTAACATGAGCACCGATTAGAGCAGGGGTGGGCAACCTCGGCTCTTTTATGACTTGTGGACTTCAACTCCCAGAATTCCTGGAATTCTGGGAGTTGAAGTCCACAAGTCATAAAAGAGCCGAGGTTGCCCACCCCTGGATTAGAGGAACAGGAAAGTATTATTTATTATTATGCTCAAGTTGCCAATGAACTGTAGTTCACAATGCAGGCTGCTATCGCAATATAATATGAGGATTGAATGTCCCAAAGCTGCTTTTCAGGAGGCAACTGGACTTCTTGTTTTTCTTTGAAGATGTTTCATTTCTCATCCAAGAAGCTTCTTCAGCTCTGATTGGATGGTAGGGAATGGAAGGATTTATGTTCCTTGCAGATAGCTGGTCATTTGCATTCTTTCAGAGAGTCGCTGAGACCATTTGGATGTTTACCTATGTCCTCAGGGTCACCTGAGTAGTGCAGATGTATGTGGAGTCTTCTTGGCTGCAGGATGTTTTCTGCCCTGTGTCCCTTCACTGTTGAAGACAGGCACAAACTGTTGGAGATGAGTCTGTGTTGTCTACATCTCAAACTGAAACGCAAATGGTTCCTATAGTCTGCAATGTTTTCTGGAAATCTGTTTCATACTCCACCATTCAAAGGGTGTTCATCCCAAAATGCATAGCTAAAGAAAGTCCATTTGCCTCCTGAAAAAGCACCTTTGGGGCAACCATGACCTGGATGACTGAGAATCTCCGCAGACTTGAGTGTTGAATGAACATTAGTGTCTCCAATGCTACAACCCACCAACAGATGTCACTACTGATATTCCAGAAGCTATGACATGTTCTTTAGCATCTGTTCTTTGTGTTGCTATTCTTTGTAAAATAGAAGCCTGTGATAACTTGGTGTGATTTAAGAAAGATGCTGCAATTGAATTGTCACAGCCAAAGAAGACTCCCCAACTGAAATTCACCACCAAATGCAGGTTATTTATGAGGGTGACTGTGTTGATGTGAGTTCTGCATCTCCCTGGGCAAAAAAAAAATAAAAAATGATGAACCTCAAAGAGCTGATTTGTATGATCCGGAATGAAGTGGTTGATCATATTATATGTTAAGTATTACAAAGTTGGATTTCACTATCTTATTCCATCTATCATATACAGGTAGTCCTCGACCTATAATCACAATTGAGCTCAAAAGTTTGGTTGTTAAGCGAGACATTTGTTAGGTGAATTTTGCCCTATTTTATGACCTTTCTTGCCACAGTTCTTAAGTGAATCACTGCAGTTGTTAAGGTAGTAACATGGTTGTTAAGTGAATCTGACTTCCCCCTTGACTTCGCTTGTCAGAAGGTTGCAAAAGGATATGACATGGCCCTGGGGACAGTATGACCATCATGAATCAGTTGTTGAGCATCCAAATGACCATGGGGATACTGCAAAGTTTGAAAGTATGAAAAAAGGTCATGTCACTTTTTTCAGTACTATTATAATAATAATAATAATAATAATTTAATTTATATACCGCCCTTCTCCTGCAGGACTCAGGGCGGTGCACAGCATATTAAAACAAGTACAAGTACAAAAACAAAAAATATAAACCCCTATAAAACCAAATTAAAACCAAATATTTGAAGCTGTATTTCTATTAAAATTATTCTTAAAATCATCCCTAAATAAAATCCTCCCTAGGTCAGGCCCGCTTGCTGGAAAAGCCATGTCTTGAGGGCACGGTGGAAAGTAAGGAGATCCGGAATCGTCCGGATCTCGGGGGGTAGTTCGTTCCAGAGGGTGGGGGCACCCACAGAGAAGGCCCTCCCCCTGGGGGTCGCCAGCCGACATTGTTTGGCCGACGGCACCCTGAGGAGACCCACTCTGTGGGAGCGTACCGGTCTATGGGAGGAAATCTGTGGCAGAAGGCGGTCTCGGAGGTANCCCCAATAATATAATGCCTTTAGAATAGCTAACATGAGCACCGATTAGAGCAGGGGTGGGCAACCTCGGCTCTTTTATGACTTGTGGACTTCAACTCCCAGAATTCCTGGAATTCTGGGAGTTGAAGTCCACAAGTCATAAAAGAGCCGAGGTTGCCCACCCCTGGATTAGAGGAACAGGAAAGTATTATTTATTATTACGCTCAAGTTGCCAATGAACTGTAGTTCACAATGCAGGCTGCTATCGCAATATAATATGAGGATTGAATGTTCCAAAGCTGCTTTTCAGGAGGCAACTGGACTTCTTGTTTTTCTTT